GGAAAGGGTGGCAGCTTTCCAACCTGCTAGTTTGTTGTTAAATTTTGAAACAACTGGATCCCAAAGAGCGGTTGAATTCCGTGTTGCACCAAGAGGCAAACCTAGATAGTCAGAAGGAAATTTCCCCACTGCACAGCCAATAGACGACGCCCACTCCTCCACCTCCTCTGTAGCCGTATTAACACCAAATAGCTTGCTTTTCTTAAGATTCAACTGCAGACCAGACATAACTTCAAACACTCTTAAGACCCTTTTAACATTTGAAATTTCCATTTTCGAAGCCCCACAGAAAATAATTAGGTCGTCTGCAAATTGCAGATGAGATAAGTTGAAAGCAGTCTCATTCTCCCAATATGCAGACCAGAAAACAGTCCATCAGAGACAGCCTTTAAGAGCAAAACATTTAGGAGTTCCCCAACTAAGTTAAATAGCAAGGGCGAAAGAGAACAGCCCTGGCGGAGACCCCTAGCCATAGGAAATTCCTGAGAAGGTACCCCATTTATCAATACTGAAATAGAAGCAGTAGTAACACATTGTTTTATCCAACTTCTCCATTTAGAACCGAAATCCATTTTCTCCATAACCTTAAAAAGAATAGACCAATCCACAGTGTCGTAAGCCCTTCTAAAATCCACTTTAAACACACAACCTTTAAGTCCCTTTTTCCTCCAGAAATCAATCCCCTCATTGGCTATAAGAGAACAATCCAGAATTTGACGACCTGGAATGAAAGCAAACTGCATAGGGCTTATTACATCGGAAATGCAATTCCTTAATCTCCTCGAAAGACATTTTGAGAGGATCTTGTACAAACCTCCTACAAGGCTTATAGGTCTATAGTCTAATCCACCAATATTGGCCACCTTGGGGATAAGAGTAATGAAAGTATGATTTACTCCATGTTCCCAATCTTTCCCTAAATAAAAGTTATGAAAGAATTTCAGAATATCAACCTTAAGAACAACCCAAAATTTCTTGAAGAAGCCCATATTAAAACCATCCGGGCCGGGAGCTTTGTTGCTATCACATGATTGTAGAGTCTCCCATATTTCTTCCTCCGTGAATTCTTTTTCCAGAATATTACTTTGCTCCACTGAAATTTTTGAAAAATTCATATCTTCTACTTCCAAAGTAGAACTAGAGTTGTAAATTCCAAAAAAATGGTCTTTGACACAAGCTTTGATGACAGATGGATCTTGGGTTATCCCTCCATTGACATTCAAAGCATACATGGAATTCCTCTTTCTCCTAATCAACGCACAAGTATGAAAAAATCTTGTATTGCGGTCCCCTTCTTCCACCCATCTAGCTCTCGACTTTTGAAACCATATCTGTTCTTCAATCTTATACAACCTCCATAATTCTGATCTCATATTGTTCAAATCTGATCCTCTGTCCCAACCATATGTACCTTGCCTCTGCTGCTGGTTTACCTCTTCCAAATGAATCCTCTTTTCTAAATCTGTAATCTCTACAGAAGGAAAATGGTCTCTCTTCCCCACCCATTGTTTGATCGACAGTTTAGTAGATTTCAGGATAGATAGAATTCCTGCTTTCCTCTGATCAGACTTGCATTCTTTAACAGTAGACTCTACTAAGTTCTGGAAACCGTCCTCTTCCATCAAATAATTAAAGAGTTTGAAGGGTTTTCCCCCAACTGACCCCCTCATTCTCCAGAAAAACAGCATTATTATCTGACACTGACCTTGGCAGCAAGTATTGTGTAACATCAGGAAATGCTTCTAGGAAATGAACATCAACGAGGAACCTGTCCAGTCTAACATAGGTGGGTAAATCCTGGTTGTTACACCACGTGAATCTGCCCCCATGTAAAGGTAAATCGATTAACCCTGTATGTTGCAGAAACTGGCTGAAAATCCTTATTGAACTTCTGTTTGGAGCTCTCCCCACCTTTTCCTCTTCAGAGATGCACATTAAAATCACCTCCCACACATAAAGGGATATTCAGTCCACAAATAAAAACAGCTAACTCTTCAAAGAAGCTTGCTTCTCTTCTTCAATACTAGGCCCATAAACATTAATAAAACCACCTAAACTGTGAAGTTCGAAACTTTCCAAAAACTGCAATAAACCTTCTGTTTATAATAAGATTGTCAACTTCAAAAGAGCACTCATCCCAGCAACTCAATAGCCCTCAAGCAGAACCCACTGCTGGAGATTCTGCAAAGCCTTGAAGAGTATTCAAACCACTTCTCCTTAAAAATTGTCTCTGAACCTTCTCCACTTTAGTTTCTGCAATAGAAGAAAAATAGGACGTCTCTTTAAAACTAGATTTTGAACAGCTCTGTGTTTTCCTTCCTTCCCAAGCCCCTAACGTTCCACGTAATGATGGCTAATTGAAACTTCATCATGATTCCAATAAGTAATAGAAAACCCAATAAGCACCGAAAATCAGACCAGCCTCAACTCCTCCTCCAACTTTATTATTTTCTCCAAAAAGGCTGATTTCCCACCCTTGAAAGACACACCCAATCTATTACTAATTTCCCAAGTAGCTAGAGCTTCCTCCAAAAGAACAGCAAAATCTGAAGAAGAAACTGTTTCAATGCTAACTTGGTCCAAAGCAAGTCTGGTCAACAATCTTTTGGCTCTTCTATTAGAAGACTTAGAGTTGAAAGAATAACTATCTCCTTGTAAGTGCCACCCTTCACCCATACTTTCCAAACTGTTATCAACAACATGCCTTTCCAAAGTAAGCCCCATACAGCCTTCCAAATTAGGTTCTGCAACTGCACTGACCAGCAGAACTGAATTAGTATCCAAAATCTTCCCATTTGGGCTCTCTAGAGATTCCTCTTCTCGAGGAACAACAATTTCATCTTTCTCTAACCAATGTCTTCTCTCCCTGGATCTCTTATAGACCCTTTTGAAGCTAATACTTCTTCTCTTTTCCAACGGTTCACTCTTTGTAGACAATGGAGAGTTGGATCGCTCAAGCGTTCTTCCCCTGGAAATCTTACTTCCAGAACATAGAATGTAGTCAATCGGCTTTTCCTCTAAATTTGATTCCAATCCTCTAGAACACTTTCTCAAACCAGTAAGTGGCAGACCTCCATTGTTATCTTCCTCTAAGTTTGCAGATTCAACCAGAAACTGCTTCTGGTCCATTTTCCCAAATTTATCCAGCTTAACAAGAGGCCCAGCTGGAATAATTTTAAGAGGTGGAGAACCAAGTGGCCCATTTTCTGATGATTGGGCTACAGACCCATCAGCCGAAAAATTTGAAAATCTGCATCCCAAACCCGCGTATTCACCATAATTGTTATTCCCAAGATCCTGACACGCTGACTTCACACCATTAATGCCTTTCCCAACTTTGTTAATCGTTGGGAGTTGAAATTCCTCACCAACTCCAAACAAACCCGTGTTAGTTCCTTGGTCAAACCAAATATCTACCTTTTGTCTGCTGTTTTCTTCTGAACGTTCAGCACTTTCCATGCTATTTGACAGACTGTCTCCAGAAAGTTTCTCTCCAAATTTTCTCTCATCGGAGCCTCCCACCGGCGACTTGTTAAAGGAAACTGAAGAATACTCAAGCACCGAACCCAGCTTAATCTTGACTTTGAACGACCTTCCATAGGATCCAATAGTTATCTCCTCAGGGACATCATAAGGGCTGGCCACCCTAACCAAAATCTTCACCATCGATAGGTCTGTTCTGTTGACTGTATCTTCATGAATCTCTTCCACCAATCCCCACTTTCCTACTACCCGTTCCAAAAAGGAATTTTGCCAACATAACAATGGAACCCCAAACAGATGTACGAGGCAAAAAGCCATTGGAACACCATCATCGTTCAATAAAAGTGCCAATCTATCAAACCAGAAAAATAACTCATCCTTTTTCTCTAGCCATGCATCCATCATTTCTTCCGTCGACTTAAATATAATAACACAAGAATTCCAGACATAACCCCATCTGGAAATCTGGACATCAAAACCTTCATTAACTAAGGCCTTCTGGACTAATTCGAACTCAAAAGAATGTTTGATGATCCCCGTTAATGATCTCTTCACCCAACTGGAGCTCTCTGACGGAATATGCATTTCCCAACAATTTTTTATACCTTTCCTCCTGTTGAAACCATCGATCGACCGATCCCTATGGTCCGATGCATTGCTCTTCAATCTATCAGACAGTAAGGCCTCCTTGTAAGATCTTGTATCTCTTACACTCCTGTTAATAACACCTTTCTCTTTGGACCTTGAATGATCTTCTGTGTTCGACCTTGAAGGCAACATCATGGAAGTATTGTTCCCGACTGACCTCACCCTAGCATCCTTGTATCTTGCAGTACCCACTGAAATCCTCCAACCATCAATCATCGAACCATTCAGTTTGGCTATCGCCCTTTTTAGACTTTCCTCATTGCCAAAATGCACAAAAGCAAAAGTAAAGAATTTGTATTTCGGATTCCTTGTTTCTCTGGGAATGAACACTCTGACTACCGGACCGTGAGATGAAAACAACTCCCTTAACTCTCGTCGAGACACTCGTTTACTGAGGTGATCAACGAACGCCGTCCAAACATTCTCTGAAGAAACTTTCCCTCTCAATTTTTCTCTCTCTACGTCACTATCTCTCTCCATACTATGTAATATGAGTCCTGGCTGTGTATTATTGTTCTGATTAATAAAATTCATAGGCACTCTTTTCCTCCTTCCAATATCCGTCATGTTACTGTTGCAACATGGAGGGTATGAAGTGGTGTTTTAATGAGGCCTAATTTCCTATAAAAAAAAAAAAGGTACTCAGGAAAGAAAGAGACAATAGTCATCAAACATTCAAGCCTTCAAATATGAGCAAAGGCACCCAACTAAGAGTATTGGACTGTCACTACAATGATTATCAGTTATAATATTTTTTCTAAAAAAAGCAATGAATATATTACCAAATAAAATTAAAAATTATCAAACTAAAAGAATATTGTAGTTCAATAGTGAGACTGATAAACAATTTAAACCATGTATATGCTTACCTACCACCTCTTGCTCCTTTTCACTTTCCTCGTCCTCATCATAATTTTCATCGTCAAACACAGAGGCTTTAGGCTCCAAAGCAGAAGAAACATCAGCAGCAAAATATTCCTTTTTGGGAAGTAAATGGTCTTCCTCAGTGGTAGCTCGAGTCTCTGGACCTTCATACTGCTCATCAATATCTTCATAGTCAATGGCATTTTCAGCCTTCTCATCATAATCTATCAGAGTGAAACCCCAATGAACAAAATATCAGATAGATACCAGATTGTTGTGAGGCATACAAAACTTAGAGCAACACAATTTTTCCAAGCGATGACTTATAGCCTCCATATCCTTCTATTAAAAAGATTAGAAGTGAATAACTACAATTCAAACAAATATATATATACATATATAAAAGAAACACATCATAAATTGAGGCATGTATCCTGATGAAAGAAAATACTTAGAAAATCAATAAGAATTATGAGGATTGCCAGTAGGAGACAAAACCAAAATAGTAGCTTGCATGGGGCATTAAAACAATCTTTGTTTTTCATTCTCAAGAATTAATGCAATCTTGAAAGCAAATTTTAGTGCTTCATTATACCATTCTTATGGATATTTCGCTGAGGGTAATTGTCCATGAATGCAAACCAGCCTATTATAAAGCCACTTAGGCACCAGTTCAATCGTTGACGAAAGCAAATCATGGATTCTATGTTAAATCATAATTTTCACCATAACACCAAGTTTCCTAGAATATGGTTTGTATCTCAAACTAGCTCTCATTCTATGGCCCAAATAATACCATATGCATTCAAGCACATTAATTTAATAAAGGAAATTTCTATGGAATATCCTTTTTATAATCACAACACTAATCCAATTAGAAATCAATATCTCAACAGTATAATCTAGATAGATGTATGTGATAGAAAAGTCTTATTAGAAGTAGGCAACTCAAACTATTTAAACTCTTGTAATCTCCTACTTCAATTATCATATTTTTTGTTCTAGCATTAACTCCATTATTTTTCCTTCTCTCTTGATTTATTCTCTTTATCTTTTTCCTTCTCTGTCATTCTATTCTATCAGATTTCAACACAAAGCATACTCAACTAGTTGAAGAAACACACACACTAATAGAATATCAAAAACTGCATGAGGATTTTCCAGCCATACAACATCACCTTGGTCAGCAGCATCAGCTGGAGTGTGCGGTGATTTATCTGACAACTGACAATCAAACAGTTTCATTAGAAACACAAACCCCACTTAAAATTAAAAATAAAACAATAGAGAAAATAGTTTGCATTAGTTTTATTTATTATGAATCAACCATTTAGTAGGAACGACAGAACAGAAAGAACACAGGATAGAAAAACATACATCTATATCAGTAAGCGATGGACCCAGCTTGTCAGCTACCGCAGCAAGATGTTCCTTTGCGTCCTGGAAAAAATGCAGTTTGTTATCTATAATGAAATAGTTAAGCCAAGCATCAAACTAACAACTTAAATAGATAGTGCAAGCCAAATTAGTATGTTATATCCTACAAAGGTTTTATCAGGTTATGGAAGAAATAAGATGAGAAATCATGCGGTTCTTCAAGAGCAGCAAAGCCCTTCAAGTCCAAAGGAAACCAACATCGTATAATTATCATATCAATTAGTCTTAGAGTTTCCATATTTAATCTGATGCCATTAGTTTTTTTATTTGTTTGTTTAAATTTCCAAAGAGGTCTATTGTTTCAGATAAGGAGATTATTCTTAGGCTGGTCCCTAGGTGTTGTAATTGTGAGACTGATAAGCTAGCAAAGGAGGGGATTGGGTGATTGTAAGTATGTGTGTTTTACAGAACAGTTGTATTACGAGAATGTTTAAGTCTTATGTAACCAGTTTATCAATAATATAATCAGGTACTCTTTTCCTCCTTCCGCTAGTCGGTTCTTTCCTTAGGGTAAAGGACTACTATGAGGGAGGTTTTTAACGAGGCCTCCTATTTCTATAAAAAAAATCCAAAGAGGTGCTAAATTCGTGCTTTTGATTTCTAGAATGGGATTTTCTCGGGCGTTCTAGTCTTATTTTGACCCTAATTTAGTTACTGAATCATCTCTCCTATGGGATTTGTTTTATATGGCTTTACTATCATTATTGAACTAACAAAGATTGCAACGTGTATTTCTCCAAACTTGTAAGAAATTCATTCAACATGACTATAACTTAGAAGAGTCGAATTTAATGGGAGATTCAGGAACAACAAATGAGTTCAGAAAGTATGTAATTGAGTGATTGGTTATTCTAAACACGAATAGAAATAGTTCACTGCAGCATCAAGATGCTTCTGTTTCACAACTCTCTTTAGGTGCAAAATCCAAATTAATATAAACATAATCCTAATTGCTCCTTAAACACTAAACACAAGTAGATTCAAAATACTTCTCCCTCAAAAAAAAAGAAGCATAAAAAGCTAAATGTTACACTTCCCTTCCTCACATCACCTCCATTTTATCCTAAGCCGTCGTCCAGACCCAGCTCCACCAAAAACGTTAAGCGGAAAACATTCCCAAACCCATCAAGAACGTGAGATTCCACCGACTAATTTACATAAAAAGCAATCAAATAAAGAACTTTGAACGGCTTAATAAACAGCCTCAACAGACAGAAAATTATGTTTAGGTTTACGCCTAAATTACCAAAAAATTAAGCTCCTAGAAGAAAAGGGGATAAATAATAACAGAAAACTTGCCTCGTCAAGATAATCGGCATCAAGATCACCCGAGTTATCCACATTCCCAAACATAAAACCCAGGAGCCGATTACTCCCACCAGCTTCCTCCTCGTATTCTTCTTCGTCGTCATCTTCGTCTGCTCCAACGAAAAACAACAAAAGACGCTTTACAATTCAATCCAATAAAAGGGAATCCAAGTTCAAAAAAAAAATAGATGCTGAAAACATGTGAACTTGAAGACCTTGGAAGCTAGAGTGACCCATATTTCTCTGTTTCTGCAAATCGAAGAAAACCGAGAACAATTTAACCTAACCTAAACCCATTTTCTTCAAGGGCTTTGGGGATTGAACTGAGAGAGAGATGAATTGGGGGAAAAGAAACAAAAGTTCGGTTTGATGGTTAATAAAAGAGGGAAATTGAACAAAAATAAAAGAATACTTATAAGATTTTAAAAACAAAATTGTAGAAAGGCGTAGGTGCTGAAAATTTAGAGGCAAAATAAACTGAACATTGGATACAGATGCCAGGGGTATTTATAGAGGCACTCGCGTCGACTTCGATTTTCACTTTCTTAACTTAAATGGGCCAGTTACCCAAAAATTCAGCTGATGGGCCTCTTTATTTTATTACGATTTTATTCTCGTTTTTAATTTTTAATAATTCTATTTTTTCCATTTTTATGATATATTTTTTATCATTTAATCATTATTTTTGTTTATTTTTTTCTTAGGGTTGGATTTGACATCATTATCATGGGTGTTCAAAATTAAATACCCATAATTTTCGGGTACTAAAATGTTGGCATGTGTCCCGGTCCATTACATCTAAGTACTCATAAGTCAGGTATCCGTAAAACCCAAGTACTCAAATTTTTGAGTCAAGGGTGTCCGGATCATAAATTTTTTCTTTAAATTATATTATTTTAAATATATAGAGATAAATTCTAAAATTTTAAATTTAAAGGTCTATAATATATATCTAATTTATGCATAAAGTTTAAAAGTTTAAATTACATAATTGAAAGAAATTTCATTAAAAATATATATTTAAATTTCAAATGTTTCGAAGTTGAAATAGATAATTTAGAACGTAAGTGTGAAATAATTTAAGAAATTAATAATTTAGAAGGTTATAATAGTAAAATTTAATAAATTAGGAATTTTGAATGTTAGAGTTAAATAATTTGAGATTTATAAATAAACAATTAATAAAAAAATAAAAAATAATATATATATATATAATAATAATAAACTAGGTATTGGGTTGACGGGGTCCAGTTAAGTAAGGTTTTGTGACCCGAGTCAAATCTGAAAACTCAAAAAAATTAGTTGGATGGGTCGGGTATATTTTAAATAAATATATGATATCTTTTAACTGGGTTGATTGGTCGGGTCAGTCGGGTTAGATGTTTTTAAACAACCCTAATCGTCACGACTTATCAATATAATATTTAACTGATTAATTTTCTTTGTGTTAATGGTTATAAGAAAATATATTTATTATGTGTTTAATTTTTGGTCATACATTCATTGTAATTTATTTATTTATTTAAAAAAATTAGAGATTTCGGTTAAAAAAATTTGAATCACCATGATATTTATACTGTATTAATCAAAAGTATTCTATGAATTTATGATTAATGGTTAATAGTTTTTGCTTATAATATATATATATATATATAAGTTTTTAATATATTTAAAATCTGAACTGCATGATCTCTCCATATTTATACTATATGATAAAACTCTAATTAAGTTTATTTTATTAATTAACTTAATACCAACTAAGTAAAAATTATTAGATTATCCACGAACCAAGCGACATTAATGATTAAATAAATGGTTGTTATTTTTAGAGGTTATAAGTTCGAGCACCAGAGACTATAAAGTATTTAAGCGTTCATTGTCAATTAAACATCAAACTATCTAGATATTATGTACAAACCAAACTACCTCAGTGGTTAAAAGAGTGGTTGTTGTTTCTAGAGATTATATGGTATTTAAGTGTTCATCGTCGATGTTTAATAACTAAACCAAGCTTTGTGTACGGCATATAAACTATTCATGGGCATGTGACCCGAACCTGACAGGTTCCAATCTGATCCGACCCAATTGGGTAAGTTTTTTAAAAAAAAATCGGGTTTGGGTTCGGGTTTGGGTCGGGCCAATTTTTTAAATTATGTTCGGTTCAGGTTCGAGTTTATGGTGAAAAATACATTACTCATACCCGAAAAAATTATAATTTTATCTTATATATCTAGAGATAATTACAATAATATCATTCTATATATTATTTTAATTTAATTTAATTCCTATTTTATTTTAATTAAATTCATATTTTTATTGAATAAAAATATTTTTAAATAAATATATTATTTCGAGTTGGGTCAGGTTGGGTTTAGATTTTATCTTAAAAATTGGATAGGGTGGAAGGATATATTTTTTTGGTCGAGTTTGGAACAGGTGGAAGGGGTATATTTTTCAAGCCGAATTCGGATCTGGTGAAGGATTTAAAATTTTTAATTCAAGTTTGGTGGACTGAAGAAGAACACAAGTTTCCCTTTATTCTTTTTCAGGTCTCTTAAAAGAAACCTTATAGTAGTAAATTTATTCAAAAGCTACAACAGGATCTGTAGCCTTCCTTCCATATCTCCTACATAGAAGTACAGCTCAAAAACTCTAGCACGACAGGTTGGGTCCAGGATCGACGCCGAATCGTTTACAATAATCGGTGTAAAACTGGATTCGACGTTGAACCCTCTGTTGTGCTGCTCCGCCGACCCCGCATTCGAGTGGGCCGTTGATGGCTCTGATTGTGGCTCCGAACCCTCGGCCGATGACGGGACGAACCGCGTTCATCCAGTACGATAATGATGCCTTGAAAGAGACGACGGGGTTCGTGGCCACTATTTCAGGGTTCTTCTATAAGTCCAGCTTTAGAGCAATCCCTGCTTTCCCGTGGTTGGTGTTCCCTGTAAGCTGAATCGGTCCTCGTCCATAGTAGGACTTGCCTGGTGCACATGGGAACTCTGGACTGGATGTACAGTAAAATATGTCTTTTTTTCCTCTTCTGTAAAGCAAAAGTCTGCAATAATAGGGTCTTAAAATGTAATTAAACCATAAAAGTTAAGAGATTAAGGTGCGTTTGGTTGGATGGAATCCCTTTGAATTGATGGGAATTAGAATCCAATTCTACCACTTTCCTATGTTTGGTTCAAGTTTTTCAAGGGAATTGGAATCCCCGATGGAATTCAATTCTATCAAATGAGGGAAAGTGAATTTCATCAAAAAATAGATGGAATTTAATTCCCTTGTTGGAGGGAATTGAAATTTAACCATACTACCATCATCAATCCTTTGGTAACTTATTCATATATTAAATAAAAATATTTTATTATTATTTCGGGTCGGGTTTCTAATTCATATATTCGGGTCGGGTTCGGGTTTAGGTGAAAAAAACCGAACTGACCCGAAAATATATATAATTCAGGTCGGGTCGGATTAAATCACTGTTTTTATTAAATAAAAATAATTTTTATTATTTCGGGTCGGGTCGGTTTGGATTTCTAATTTATATATTCGGATCGGGTCGGATGAAACTTTATTTTGTTCGGGTCGGGTTTTTTAAGTGTGATATTCGGGTCGGATTTTTTTAAGTGTGATATTCGGGTCGGGTTTATGGTGAAAAAAACCGGACCGACTTGAAAATATATATAATTCGGGTCGGGTCGGATTAAGTCACTGTTTTTATTAAATAAATTTTTATTATTATTATTTCGTGTCAGATTTCTAATTCATATATTCGGGTCGGGTCGGATGAAACTTTATTTTGTTCGGGTCGGGTCGGGTTTTTTTAAGTGTGGTATTCGGGTCGGATCAGGTTCGGGTTTAGGGTGAAAAAAACCGGACCGACCCAAAAATATATATAATTCGGGTAGGGTCGGATTAAGTCACTACTTTTATTAAATAAAAATATTTTTTTATTATTTCGGGTCTGGTCGGGTCGGATTTCTAATTCATATATTTGGGTCGGGTCGGATGAAACTTTGTTTTGTTCGGGTCGGGTTTTTTAAGTGTGATATTCGGGTCGAGTCGGGTCGGTTTTTTTAAGTGTGATATTCGGGTCGGGTTTAGGGTGAAAAAAACATGACCGACCCGAAGAAATATATATAATTTTACCTTATATATTTATGAATAATTACAATAATACAGCTATATATATAATTTTTTTTCAATTAAGTCAATTTTTTTATTGAATAAAAATATATTTTTTTATTTTGAGTCGTGTCGGGTCGAGTTTCTAATTCATATATTGAATAAAATTAGTTTTTTGTATATTTTTTGGTAACTAATTAACATACTCCGATTGGAATGTATCGAAATATTGCTCTATCTTTTGGTAACTTATTAACATATTTTGATTGTGATGATTTTAACTTATAATGTTTATTAGCATAATTTTTATAATTTATTAAAATGAATAATTAATCAATAAAATGAAAATTTAATATTTTTTATTTTTTATAATATATTACTACATGTAAGTTGTAAAATAAACTAAAATAAAGCAAAAAATAAGAAGGGTAATTATGTCATTTTATATTACTGAAATCAAATTCATCTGACATGTCTGCGAACCAAACAGAATATGAAATTGGATTCTAATTTCATTTCGGAATTAGATTTCAATTCCTACAGATTTCAATTCTTTCACAAATTTCAATTCCCTCATAAACATTTCAACAAACCAAACGCCGCCTAAAGATTTAATTTCACTAATTTTAAAATTCAAAGGTTTTAAAAAAGTAATTAAATCAAACAAATTTAGACTTAATGTTTAATTCCATTAATTTTAAAAATGATAGTGTCCAAAAAATCTTGACACGGACAAGAACTAAATTGCAATGGTTTCAAAATTACTAAGGACTTAAAAGGTAATTAGAACATCAAAATTTGGAGGCTATTGCCCCTTTATTCTTAACATAGTGTATCCTTACAAATTTTAAATTCACGTATAATTTTTATTAACAATTTCTTTTCATTTTTTAAAATTTTATACTTTCACTCATGTCTAGACATCAACTAAGAAATATATGACGATCATGGATGGATCAAGAGCGACTAACGAATCGATTGTCTTTTTAAAAATTTTAAATTTTTATATAATTTAGATATTTTTATTGATAATCAATTTTCACCCTAAAATTTAAATATTAGTAGCTCTTAAAATTCTAGAAGTTCATTTTTAACATAAAAATGTGTGTTCCTACCTAATAACGGATTGAGTTAAAGAAAAAAAGGTAAATTATGCATTTAATAAACGAACAAACACGAACAAAAGTATATTTGATTTGTTTATGTTCAGGAATAAACTCATTTATAAGCTTATTTATTGATTTATAAGTTTGTTTACTCGGTTTTTCTTT